TTTTGAGTTGACTATGAAAAAGATTAGTCAGTATCCAGCTTCATTATGTCATATGTATTCCATACTCATAATAAAGTATGTTAGCTTTTTTTTTCTTTCTTAGAAAGAGTCTTATTCTGTCACCCAGGCTGGATTGCAAGTGGCATGATCATTGCTCAGTGCAGCCTAGGACTCCTGGGCTTAGGCAATCCTCTTAACTCAGCCTCCCAAGTAGCTGGGATGATAACCACATACCACTATGTCTAGCTGTTATTTATTTATTTATTTGGTAGAGATACAGTCTTGATACATTGCCCAGGGTGGTCTCAAACTCCTGGGCTCAAGTGATCTTCCTGCCTTGGCCTCCCAAAGTGCTGAGATTACAGATGTGAGCAACTGTGCCTGGCCAGGTATGTTGATTTACATAATTTCAGAACAGATACAAATTTATGTTTGACAACATTTCAAGCATCATAAATCTCATGTTCTTTCTGGACATTTAGGAGTTATTTTCCAGTGCTGACGTGACTTTAACATTTCAAGAGCATCTATAATGTTCACAGGTAACGACCATAAGATTCTCTGGTTATACAATAAAAATTTTAACATACTTGGATCATAATTATTAAGATAGGGAGATTATCCTGGTTTATCTGGGTTTTCCCAATGTAATCACAAGGGTCCTGAAACATGGAAGAGAGAGACAGAACATTCAAGTGTGATGAGTGATATAAGACTGACTGGTCACTGCTGGTTTTGAAAGGAGGCCCCAAACCACAGAATTTGGGCAGCTTCTAGAAGCTTGAAGGGCAAGGAAAGACACTCCCCTAGAGCCTCCGAAAAGAAAAGCAGCCCTGTCAACAGCTTGATTTAGCCCTGTGAGATGCATTTGGACTCCAGACCTCCAGAACTGTAGGATAATGATTTTGCGTCACTTTAAGCCATCAAATCTGTGTTAGCTTGGTGCAGAAACCATAAGAAACTAACAGTTTTACTTCCATATTTATTATACTTATAGGTTTTCGTTACATAATACTATTCCTGGGGCTCAAGATGTCATTTATTAAACATGTCCCTCCAAGACTCTCAAGGCATAAAAGTGTGATACATGTGTTAATTTGGTGAGTTTCCATCATGTCTCACTTTCAAGACTTTTTTTCTATAAATTCTCCCATAAAAATTTTACAAAAATGTTTTCCATCTCCATTGCCTCTAAAGTTGTCTGTTTCTTTAACACACGAGGCACAATTTAGCACTAAAAACACCATCACAATCTTTCATAAACATTCCTGTAAGAATTCTTTTGATACCAATTGAGATACCATCTCCAGGTAAGGGCTTCCTCATAACACCTGCATTTCTATCCAACATGATTTCAATGGTGTTTAACAGGTTTAGCTTCTCACAGAAATGTCCTCCACCACCAGTGCCTCCATAATTTCAGCCCTAAATGAGCTATCTGGCATATAATGGTTGGAGGATTCCTGCTAAAGATTTTCCCACCTTTCTGGTATCAGAAGATTTATTCTTATACAGTATCTGTAAGATACAAGATATAATTTATTACTGGTGGGGCCACATTTACTTCATTTGCAAGGCTTATTCCCTGTTCGAATTCCTGATTCACTACAAAGGCTTGATTTCTTGGAAAAGGTGGTTCCATAATCACTACATTTCTACCCACTAGGAGCTCACTGATGTTTAACAATGGAGGGGTTCTTGAGGAAGGCATTTCTACATGTACTGTGTTCACAGTGTTTTGCTCTTGTATGAGTTCACTCATGTACAAGGAGGTATGACTCTTGGAAGAAGGTTTCTCCACCTTCAGTGAATTTATGGTTTTCTCTCTTATGTGAGTTTTCTGATGTTTAACGAGGACTGACATGTGGGCAAAGGCTTTGTCACACTCGCTGCATGAATATGGTCTCTCTCCAGTGTGAGTACGCTGATGCTGAATGAGCTTCGACTTGCTTCTAAAGGCTTTTTCACACTCACTACATTCATAAGGTTTCTCTCCTGTATGAATCCGCTGATGTCTGGTGAGGTCTGACTTAAAATAGAAGGTTCTTCCACAATCACTGCATTCATAAGGCTTCTCTCCTGTGTGAAGTCTCTGGTGTGCAATGAGGTATGCCTTCTGGGAAAAGGCTTTCCCACACACACTGCACCCATAGAGTTTCTCTCCAGTATGGGATCGCTGATGTCTATTGAGCAGGCACTTCCGGCTGAAGGCTTTTCCGCATTCACTGCATCTGTAGGGTTTCTCTCCTGTATGGGTTTTCTGATGGACCATGAGCTGTGACTTTCTGGAGAAGGCTTTTCCACATTCACTACATTCATGGGGTTTCTCTCCCGTATGAGTTCTCTGATGCTCAGTGAGCTGAATCTTCCTCATAAATGTTTTCCCACATTCACCACATCCATGGGGTTTCTCTCCTCTCTCAGTTCTCTGATGTTGAATAAGCTGTGCTTTCCTGGAGAAGGCTCCCCCGCACACACTGCATTCATGTGGTTTCTCTCCTGCATACATTTTTTGATGGTCACTGAGCTGTGATTTAGTGCTACTGGGTTTAACACATCTATGGTATTTAATTCCAGTAAGGGTTTCGTCACGCTTGATATGGAGGCATGATTTCCCATATCCACCAAATGCATCAGAATCTTTTCCTGCATGTCTTGTGTTCTGGATAACAAAACCTAAATGAGATTGCAAACATTTACAATGTGAGCCAAACTTATTGTGTCTTTTTATTAAAGGAACAATACTCTTATATAAATCAAACTTATTTCCAAGGGCAGAACTTTGCGGACATCTTTCTAAATTTTTAAGCTCATTTTGGTTTTCTGGGTACTACTGCATAGGGTCAATCTCTTGTATTTCTTCTAGGAAAAAGAACAGTAAGAACATCCATGATAATTTTTTGTGGAGGTGGCAGAAGGCGCAAAAATGCCATGGTTTTGGTTGGCTTTTATAAGATCACAGCCTCAGAGTAATGTACCTCACACTCTGTGAAAAAGGATGATACTATAAAACAGCAAAAGGAAAACACAGCAACTTTATCAACAACAATGGGTACTCTATAATGAGTAAATACAACTTGGGCTGCCTCCCAAAGAGGACCTTGCAAATGGAGACAGAAGTAGAAACAGAAACACATTGCAACTAGAACAAATCGAAAACAGATGGAGGGGATGGATGTATTCACCCAACAAACACTGAATGTACAGGTATTTGGCATACTACAGTGACTAATAATGTATTCTCTGTCTCCATGAACCTGTCATTAGGTAAAAAGAGAGAATCAACAGGTATGCAGAGAAGTAGGAACAGAATATGAAGAACAGTACAAAGGAAGCAGCTCACATCAGAGGGTAAGAACGAGCAATGTTATGCAAAGAACAAAATAAAGAACATTCCTAGAAAAGAGAACAGCCAGTGTGAAAACTCAGTGGCAGAAAAAACTTAGGTGTCATCAAAAAAATGTAAGAGAAGCTGGTATGCCTGGAATACCCTGAGTTTGAATGAAGTAGAAATACAAAAGTTTGGCAAGGCTGGCAGAATTAACAACAGAGATTTTGTAGGAAGACTTTGTTAGAAACTGGAATTTATGCTAAGAACAATGGCAGTAAGCCACCAAACACTTTTTGCCAAGAAAACATGTTCCGAATTGACAGTCCCAACATTACTATTCTATGGAGAATCAAATGGAGAGATAAAATTATAGAAAAGAATGCAATGGAGGCAATGGCAGAATTCAGGTGGCTTGATCAGGAATAATTACAATGGAGATGGAGAATTGTGAAAAAACTAGGACATAGGATGGAGGAGGAAGAGGTAAGATTCACTCCTACAACAAACGTTGCCAGTACAAAGGGAAGAATTGACGATAGCTGCTCAATATGTGGCTTAAACACCTGTACAGGTGCTGGTGCCATTTAATAAAATGAGGAAGATTAGGGGCATGGGTTTGCCACTGGGGCGGGGGCATGTTCCATTTAGAGGCCTGTAAAGGCTTGAGATGAATAATACATAATTAAAGAGACCATATCAAGTATACAGATCTATGAGTATGGAGAAAGTTCTAGATATAAGATTACAATTTTAAGTCACAAGTATATAAACATTATTCAAATACTTGGGACTGTGTAGGACTAGATGAGATTCTTTAGGAAGGCTAGACAGAGAAACAGGAGGGCCTAGGACAAAAGCTTCATGCACTTTGAGTCTTAAGAGTTTTGGGAGAGGGGTATGCACAGAGAATTTGAAAAGACCGTCCAGAGACATCAGACTATGTCTGTGCTGACCAAGCAAATAAGCAATGCGGGTTTTAGTAACAAAGGTTTAGAACTGGAAAATCAGAATACAGGATGCACAGCATTTCCTTTCAAGGTCACTGAGGCAAAATACTCAATAATCACCTAGCTACAAAATCTTTCCCCCCTTTTCCAACTGCACAACAAAATCAAATTTTCCTAAAACACCAATTTAGAGCAATACCGTAGTCAACGTTCCAACTTGCTATGTAGACACTGAGATACTGTGATATAATAATAAATACATATTTGGACTTCGCCCCTGGTTCCTGGCACAGAGTTCCTACAGCCCTTGCAATTTCCTGAGTGATAGGGGTGCCGGGAGCAATTCTAATATTTGGTCTCTGACTCCAGTACCTGACACAGAGCTCCTAAATCCCTTAGAAGTTCCTGGGTGATGAGGGCACATTTTGTTCTAATGAGGCAAATCTTGATGGGCTCCTAGACAGTTTCAAGATGGGGGTTGGTCACATCCTCCAGATAGGGCTGAAGTTTTTGTTTTTTGTTTTTTCTTGAGATGAGTTTTCACTCTGTCGCCCAGGCTGGAGTGCAGTGGCACAATCTCAGCTCACTGCAACCTCTGCCTCCCAGGTTCAAACAATTCTCCAGTCTGAGTCTCCTGAGTAGCTGGGATTACAGGCACCAACAACTATGCCTGGCTAATTTTGTATTTTTAGTAGAGACGGGGTTTCACCATTTTGGCCAAGCTGGTCTCAAACTCCTGACCTCAAGTTATCCACCCACCTTGGCCTCCCACATTGCTGGGATAGCAAGCATAAGCCACCATGCCCAGGACTTTTTTTTTTTTTTTTTTTTTCAACAGTCTCACTCTGCACAGACTGGAGTGCAGTAGTGCCATCTCAGCTCACTGAAACCTTTGCCTCAGTGATTCTCCTGCCTCAGCCTCCTGAGTAGCTGGGATTATAGGCATGCACCACCACACCAGACTAATTTTTGTATCTTTAGTAGAGATGAGGTTTCGCCATGTTGGCCAGGCTGATCTTCAACCCCTTACCTCAGGTGATCTGCCTGCCTCAGCCTCCCAAAGTGCAGGGATTACAGGCATGAACCCCCATGCCCAGCCAGGCTAGAGATTAATAATCAATCATATCTATGTGATGAAGCCTCCACAAAAATAATTACAAGATAGACTTCAGAGAGCTTCCAGGTTAATGAGCACTCACATACCGGAAGAGTGATTCACTCCAACTCCCTGAAGTTAGAAACTCCAGTGCTTGGGACCCTTCTAGATCTTGCCCTACACGCCTCTTCATCTGGCTGCATCCTTTATCATGGTCTTTGTGATAAATCAGCAAGTGTGTTTCCCAGGATTCTGTAAGCAGTCACAACAGATTATCAAAACTGAGAAGGGGATCGTGGGAACCACCTATTTGTGGTCAAGTCAGAAATGTGGGTAATGTGGGAGTCTGCTACTTATGACTGGTATCTGAAGTCGGAGACAGTCTTGTGAGACTGAGCCCTTAACCTGTGGGGTCTGTACTAACTTCAGGTAGCTCATGTCACAGTGATATTGTGGGACATCCAGCTGGTGTCAAGAGAGTTGGAGAACTGGTTGCTGTGAGGAAAACCCCTACACATTTCGTGTCAGATGTATTCCTTAAGAGTAGAAAAACAATTTTTTCCCTTTACAGGTATGAAACAACCATACAACATTCAGTATTCCAGATACATATGATTTAAAAAATAGTTCCCTGGATCACCTTCCCTTTTCCCAGGGAGGTGTTACAATCATATTGACTAGTGGAAATTAGTCAATATTAACTATGTCTCCACTCAGTTTAATAATATTCTGTGTCAAATGCAAAACCTTCTGCAATGACGGAAATGTTCTATATCTGTGTTTTCCAATATGGTAGCCACTATGTGTGGCTATTGAGTACTTCAATGTGGCCAGAGTGACTAAAGGACTGAATTTTTGGACCAGGCACAGTGGCTTACACCTGTAATCCTAGCACTTTGGGAGGCCGAGGCGGGCAGATCACTTGAGGACAGGAGTTGGAGACCAGCCTGGCCAACAACAAACCTTGTCTCTACTAAAAATACAAAATAAAATTAGCTAGGTGTGGTGATGGGCGCCTGTAATCCCAGCTACTTGGGAAGCTAAGGCAGGAGAATCGCTTGAACCCAGGAGGTGGAGGTTGCAGTGAACCTCTTGGTTGCACTCATGACACTGCACCTCGTGACACTGCACTCCAGCCTAGGCGACAGAGCAAGAATCTGTCTCAATAAAAAAAAAAAAAAACCTGAATTTTTAATTTTACCTAATTTTAATTAAATTTAAATAACTACATGTAGCCTGTGCCCAATGCATTGGCCAGCATAGACACAGATTATTATCTATATTTGCCATTATAATCTCCTTGATACAGTCATCTCCAAATTTTCTTCTTTCAACTAATATCACATTCTTCCTTAATTTCCATTCCAACATCATCTCTGGCCCTCACCAGTTAGACATTCTGAGGAATCAACTCCCCATCCAGGAAAACATTCATCTGCCTTATCTTCTATTCATCCTAGAACCTCAAGTTATACCTTCCTAATATTACAATGACTACCTGACTATCAAGCAAGACTCTCTAGAACTAGCAAAGAAAGATGAAACAGGCCGGGTGCCGTGGTTCACGCCTGTAATCCCAGCACTTTGGGAGGCCAAGGCAGGTGGATCACCTGAGGTCAGGAGTCCAAGACCACCCTAGCCAACATGGTAAAACCCAGTCTCTACTGAAAATACAAAAATCAGCCAAGCATGGTGATGCGTGCCTGTGATCCCAGCTACTCAGAAGGCTGAGGGAGTAAATCGCTTGAACCTGGGAAGTGGGAAGCGGAGGCTGCAGTGAGTGGAGATCACGCCACTGCACTCCAGCTTGAGAGAGAGCAGGACTCTGTCTCCAAAAAAAAAAGGATAAAACAAAACCAAATTCACACTTTCTAAGCCAACTATTAACATAAAACCCAGAGTAATCAGCGATTTCCTTTCTCATTGTCCCCTACAGGCCAATCTATTGAGCAACTCCCATCTCATCCTCCTATTTCCTACTACAAAGTTTTCTTTATATTGTTATTGACCCATTGATGATGAAGACCTTCCATCATCATTTTTATCCAAAATCCAGCATTCTTCCTGCAAAAAATATTTTATCATGCTTACAAAAACAGTACTTTATTCTCTCTGAAACACTTTTTATATGTTTGACACGTTACTGTCTTTGTACTTACTTGACAATTCATTTTGCATAGCCTTGTAACATACCAAAACGCCTTATAATCAAATGCTCATTTTTTTTTTTGAGACAAAGTTTTGCTCTTGTTGCCCAGGCTGGAGTGCAATGCTATGATCTCGGCTCACCGCAACCTCTGCCTCTCGGGTTCAAGCGACTCTCCTGCCTCAGCCTCCCAAGTGGCTGGGATAACAGTCATGCACTTTGCCACCACACCCAGCTAATTTTTTGTATTTTTAGTGGAGACGGGGTTTTCCCAAGTTGTTCAAACTGGTTTTGAACTCCCGATTTCAGGTGATGCGCCTACCTTGGCCTCCCAAAGTGCTGGGATTACAGGGGTGAGCCACTGTGCTCAGCCCAAATGCTCAAAATTTAAAAATTTTACACACCTATGTCCTTCATTACATTGGAGTCTCTCTTGGAGCCTATTAAAACGCTGGCTTTTTAGCTACAGGGTTCCAGGTAGAAATGCCTGCCAACCCTTGTTAACTTCATATGCTCAGGTCACTCCCTGTATCTAACAAATCAGAAGCAGAATCTCAAGAGACACAGCCTGTAGTTT